AATTCTGTGAGCAGAGTGGCTGGGCAAGGATACATGGCAACCCTGACATCCTGTCAGAGAGTCCGCTAGACTCTGCTGATGAAGGAGAGGAAGAGGTTGAACCTGCTACTGAGGCTCAGAGTCCAGACCCAGTGCAGGCAGAGGGGAGAACTTCTCCCAAGGCTGTGAAGATTGAGCAACGCAGTGCTCCATCTTCCCCCACAGGTTCGGCTGAGAAGTCCAGAAGGCTCAGTAAGTCAGAGGAGCTCTCTGATGCCAAGGACGTTCTGGCTGGCCCTAGTGGGTCAGAGGGGTTCCTGAAGTAGTGCTGCGCCGTTCAACGCGGACGACCAAGGGAAACCTCCTGAAAGGTTTGCCGTCACTAGTGTGTGGGTCGGAATGGCACAGTGTGAACCCGAGAGTTTTGAGGATGTTCAGAAACTGCCTCAGGAAGAAGCCAGGAAATGGCATGAGGCGATGCAGAAGGAGATGAACTCAATGGAGTCTCTAGGTGTGTTCTCCCTCACGAAGTTGCCGGTGGGTGAACATACAGTGGGTAGCCGCTGGGTGTACCATCTTAAGCCCACAGCGACAGGAGAACCGCAGTATAAGGCCAGATTAGTGGCGAGAGGATTCACACAGCGCAGGGGGTTGCATTATACGGAGATTTATGTGCCCACGTGTAGGAGTGAGTCTCTACGCTTGGTCTTGGCCATCGCTGCACAAAGAGGTTTGCTGGTGCATCACTTTGATGTGGATGTTGCTTACTTGAACTCAGACCTCCAGGAGGATCTGTACATGTTTCCTCCTCCAGGGTTTAAGGGCAATGAGCGAGGTACTGTGTGGAAACTTCACAAGTCAATTTACGGCCTGAAGCAGTCGGCCAGGAATTGGAACTTGTGCCTGAATGAAGCTTTGGAGAAGCTAGGTTTCAGGAAGAGTCTTGCTGACAGTTGCCTGTTCCTTAGAGGATCAGGAGACTCACAGGAACTGGTGTTGTTTTATGTTGATGACATCATCCATGTTGGAAAGGCAGACAAACAGGTGCAGAAGTTTGCCAAAGAGCTTGAGAAACGGTTTCAGCTCAAGGACCTGGGTGCAGTAAAGATCTACCTAGGTGTCCAGATAGCGAGAACTGAGGATGGTAGCTTCTTGCTCAGTCAGAAAGGCAAGATTGAACAGTTGCTGGAGAAGTTCAGAATGTCCGATTGTGCAGGAGTTCGGACACCCATGGAGACGAACTTCGTGAAAGATAGCCAAGAAGCAGAAAGTGCTGAGTTCGAGAATGCTGAGCTCTTTCAGTCAGCTCTAGGTAGTCTGTTGTATCTGTCCCAATGGAGCAGACCAGACATTGCCTTTGCTACCAACCTGCTAAGTAGGGAAGCGTCAAAGCCCAGTGTGAGTGCTTGGCAAGGTATCAAGCGGGTACTGCGCTACCTGCAGCATACCAAAGACTTCTGTCTTAAGCTGCCAGCTGAAGGTGAGGCGAAGCTCACATGCTATGCGGACAGTGACTGGGCGAATTCGCAGGACCGTAAGTCTGTGTCCGGGCTGATGGTAAAGTTTGGGAAGTCACTGGTTGGGTGGAAGTCCCGGAAGCAAAGTCTCATTGCGCTGTCTTCTACTGAGGCTGAATTCAGTGCACTGTCAGATTTGTGCCGAGAACTAGAGTTCTATAGATGCTTGGTGCAAGAGATCTATGGGGATTGTAGCTTGCCCATCACGGTTTGGGAAGACAATCAACCTTGTTTGAAGTTGGCTGAATCTGCGCAATTTAAGGCGAGAACCAAGCATCTGGACATACGTTTCCAAAATGTGTGTCAGAGTGTTCAGTCAGGTTTGATACGACTGAAGTACTGTGCCAGTCACAGTAACCTGGCCGATGGATTTACCAAACCTTTAAGCTTCCAGCGTCATGGGGAGTTTTGTGGTGGTTTGGAGTTGGGGGTAAGTTCTGTACTTACTGTCCCCACAGTAGCGCAGAGCGAGAGGGGGTGTGAGGAGAACCTGAGCTTACAGGGTTAAACAGCTCAGAGTGTACGCTCTGCCTACTAGTGGGAGGGGGGAACTCCTACGTCAGTTCCGAGAGACTCAAGTCTTTGTTCTGTCTCTCTACTTTCGCTTTTGAGGAGAGAGGACGTGTTTTCGTGATGCTGTTCGCTGTGATAGATAATGGATAGTCTGCTGTAAATAAAACTGCTTTTAGCTGCTAAGATCCTGTGTGGACTTTATTTAAGCACACTGAAGAATGCACTGGAGGTTTTTTTCTGCAGTTTCCTCTTACCGCTGTTGAAACTCTGCTATGCTCAGATGAGTCGGACTTTTGGAATGCAGAGGCCTGCGATGGGGGAAGCGTGCCGGACCTCACGCTTATCTGAGCAATAAATCAAGATTATCTAACAGTTTCTATTGTCTCTGGCTGCTTCTAAAAAGCAGTAAAAAGTAACTGAAATCTGAAATTAACTTTGGATTGTATGAGTTGCGTTTAAAGGGGACATTGTTGATTATTATAAATAGAAACTGTTTCCCCCTAGTGGAAGTCTCTGAAATTGGTTACTTTATAAGAGCTGGGCTAGGGGGACTTCCAGCTGCAAGATAAAAACTGTGAGACTCTGAGATTGACCTTGAATCTCCCAAGTGTTATGATAAATGGAAAGGAAAAAAACAGATGAAATGTCGACAGAAGAGGCCTTAGTGGTCGCATTAGTGAAAATAAACGATTCGCTGGAACAGCTTCACAGGAAAACAGACAATCTGGGACAAAAGGTGAACACCAACACAGAAACCATTCAGAGATTGATACAGGAATTTACCTTGACACGGCAAACTGTGGATGAAGTCAGGGAGAAAACCCTTGCTGCTGAATGTAAAACAATACAACTGGAGTGTGAAAGAGCCCCATCCATTCAAAGGCAACTCGATGTGACATCTGTTATGATGGAACTTAAAGAAAAACAGATGAATTTGAGGACCAGAGCCCTACGTGAATTGGGAAAGGAAAGCTTGACAGAGCTTCAGGAGGAGACAGGACTAACATCGGTTGCGAAAGAGAGGCTTTTGGGGGTCAGTATGACCGCCAAAAATGTGAATTTATTTAAGGGTAACTGTGAAGGATGTTGGATTGAAGAGAAGGGGGATTAGGAAATATGGACAAATCTGAAGTTGCTATTGTTGGGCCGAGCTGTTGTGGTGGGGATGAGGGTTGCTGTGTTGCCGGGGATGTTGCTTTTGTTCCAAATAGTGCAAGTTTTGGATGGGATGGATTGTTTCAGGAGGTGGCAGAGGGATGTTTTTGGTTTTGTTTGGCAGGGCAGGAAGCCTCGAGTAAAACTTAAGATATTGACAGATGCTAAAGAAGGAGGTGGACCTGCCCTGCCAGACCCCTAAACTTTGTTGTGAACCATCTGCTTTTTGCTGGCTGAGAGAATGGTTGTCTCTTGGAAGCACTGAAGTGTTGGATAATGGCAGATGAAGTTGATGGACTAGATGGAATTGGCGGAAAAGACTGGCAAGATCCGAGACCAGGGAGAAGAGTCGGTGGAAGAAGACTGGGAAAAGTTTAAAGATTATTTATAGAAATATTGTAAAATTAATGAATGTTAGAAGAATGTTGGAATGAAGTTATATGGCTTCAGTAGAAATGTTATAAGGAATTAAGTATAAATAGATTAATAGAGTATTAAAGGAAAATAAGGTTAAAATGTGTTAAGATAATTATAGGATAGAAAACAGGGGAAGATGGAAAGGAATTGGAATTAAGTATAAATAGATTAATAGAGCTTTAAAGGGAAAAATATGGTTAGAATGTGTTAAGACAATTATACGATAGAAAACAGAGGAAAATGGAAAGGAATTGCTGAAACAATGAACAGAAGTGGAATACAAAAAGGGAGGTGTGAGGAGGTCGAGGAAATAAGAGAAAGAAAGATAAGATGTTGAAATTGGATTGTGTTTTAAATGGTTTTTGTTTTGTTTTGTTTTGTTTGTTTGTTTTTATTTTGTATTGTATTGTATGTTTTTTCTTTTTTGGTTTTTTGTAGTGTTGTGTTTAATTTGTTGGAAATTTAATAAATATTATTTTTTTAAAAAAAAATAAAAGCAACAAAAAAGGCTTTTATGGGTATTTCCGTAGCAAAAGGAAGAACAAAGAAACAGTGGGGTCACTCAGAGGAGCAGATGGTGAAATGCAAACAGGGGACACAGAAAGGGCTGAACTCTTCAATGCATTCTTTGCCTCAGTCTTCTCCGATAAAGAAAACAATGCCCGACCTGAAGAATTTGAAGCAAATGATTCAGCAGAGGAAACACATCCCAGAATAACTAAGGAGATAGTACAAGAATACTTGGCTAGTTTAGATGTATTCAAGTCTCCAGGGCCAGATGAACTGCATCCAAGAGTATTAAAAGAAGTGGCAGATGTGATCTCAGAACCACTGGCAGTCATCTTTGAGAATTCCTGGAGAACAGGCAAAGTCCCGGCAGACTGGAGGAGGGTAAATGTTGTCCCTATTTTCAAAAAGGGGGAAAGAGAGGACCCAAATAATTATCGCCCAGTCAGTCTGACATCAATACCAGGGAAGATTCAGGAGCAGATCATTAAGCAAACAGTCTGTGAGCACCTAGAAAGGAATGCTGTGATCACCAATAGTCAGCATGGATTTCTGAAAAATAAGTCATGTCAGACTAACCTGATCTCGTTTTTTGACAGAATTACAAGCCTGGTAGATGAAGGGAACGCAGTGGATGTAGCCTACCTTGATTTCAGCAAGGCATTTGACAAGGTGCCCCATGACATTCTTGTAAAGAAGCTGGTAAAATGCGGTCTTGACTATGCTACCACTCAGTGGATTTGTAACTGGCTGACTGACCGAACCCAAAGGGTGCTCATCAATGGTTCCTCTTCATCCTGGAGAAGAGTGACTAGTGGGGTGCCACAGGGTTCTGTCTTGGGCCCGGTCTTATTCAAAATCTATATCAACGACTTGGATGATGGACTCAAGGGCATCCTGATCAAATTTGCAGATGACACCAAACTGGGAGGGGTGGCTAACACCCCAGAGGACAGGATCACACTTCAAAACGACGTTGACAGATTAGAGAACTGGGCCAAAACAAACAAGATGAACTTTAAGAGGGAGAAATGTAAAGTATTGCACTTGGGCAAAAAAAATGAGAGGCACAAATACAAGATGGGTGACACCTGGCTTGAGAGCAGTACATGTGAAAAGGATCTAGGAGTCTTGGTTGACCACAAACTTGACATTAGCCAACAGTGTGACGCGGCAGCTAAAAAAGCCAATGCAATTCTGGGCTGCATCAATAGGAGTATAGCATCTAGATCAAGGGAAGTAATAGTGCCACTGTATTCTGCTCTGGTCAGACCTCACCTGGAGTACTGTGTCCAGTTCTGGGCACCACAGTTCAAGAAGGACACTGACAAACTGGAACGTGTCCAGAGGAGGGCAACCAAAATGGTCAAAGGCCTGGAAACGATGCCTTATGAGGAACGGCTAAGGGAGCTGGGCATGTTTAGCCTGGAGAAGACGAGGTTAAGGGGTGATATGATAGCCATGTTCAAATATATAAAAGGATGTCATATAGAGGAGGGAGAAAGGTTGTTTTCTGCTGCTCCAGAGAAGCGGACACAGAGCAATGGATCCAAACTACAAGAAAGAAGATTCCACCTAAACATTAGGAAGAACTTCCTGACAGTAAGAGCTGTTCGACAGTGGAATTTGCTGCCAAGGAGTGTGGTGGAGTCTCCTTCTTTGGAGGTCTTTAAGCAGAGGCTTGACAACCATATGTCAGGAGTGCTCTGATGGTGTTTCCTGCTTGGCAGGGGGTTGGACTCGATGGCCCTTGTGGTCTCTTCCAACTCTATCATTCTATGATTCTATGATTCTAACAGTTGCAGGAATGAAGGATACAGCACCATATATGGACAGGAAAACATCATGGGGGAAAATTGTCACACACAGGAAAGTATAAGGATTACACTTAGAGTTCCTCACTTGAAACTTTATAAATTACCTAATATAGCAAAAACAAAAATAAAACCACAAGACTGTAGCTGTTATCTAAGAGATTATTACATGTGCATGGAATGCAATGGAAATTATTAACATAGTGGAACACAGAATTAATGAAGAAGAATGAAGCCATCAAATCTAGCTTGCAAGGGGAAACATTTAATTAAATCATACAATTGACATTTGAATAATTGGCATTCAAAATTGCATTAATTAGAGAAAATTGGTATTGTGATAATGAGGCTGGTATTGGAACAATATGGGTAAATCAATAAAAATATATGTTTTTTAAAAAAATAATAGTAATATTTTGGCATTTCCCCTACTGCTGAAGTGCCATAGAATCCAAAAACACGGCACAAATGATTCTCTCCCCTATCATTACTCAAATTACAATAATCAATCCACCTGACTGAACCGCCAAATACCACAGTGGAAAATAGGAATCAACAAGCAAGCCTGAAATGATTATAAGCTCCTCTGTGCACCATAGACGACTAGGCTGCGCTCTGTTACTTATCAGTTATCAGTTTCCCTTTTTCATATCAAACCACTGCATCTTGTTTGGCATCCAAGGCATTCTGTTGTGACAATGTTCAAGCTAACAGTAAGGTGGATACAGGTCCCTTACCGTGCCAAATTGACAGAGTCGGCTGTCACCCAATTTGTCTTGTTCAGATCAGGTGGAGGAGAGGAATAATACTGTCGAGAGAAGCAGGGGAGTCCATGCCCACAAGGGTATTTGCCATCAGGATGTTGCTCCTGCTGCTTCTGCTGCTCCCCAATATAGTGTCCCAAGGACAAAGTGCTAAATGCACAACAAATAATCCTGTTCATGTTCCACACGAGTGGTATGAGCCAGGTGACCTGGTCATTGGTGCAATGGCATCTCATATTTATTATATAGTCCGCAAGGTTTCCTTCAAGAAACACCCTTCCCAGGACTTCATTGATGCCCCAATGTAAGTAACTGTTAATTAATATTATTTTAATTGTTCCTTATATGCTATATCTGACTGAAAATAACTTTGATTGATTGCTATAGAACTTTATTTTTTAAATGTGTGGAGAGATTTTATTAGAAATCTCTGTACGTATAGGCTATGTGCATACTGTCAATGAACAATAAGCTTTTTTTAGTCTGATTGTGTAAAGAGAGATAGAAAAGAGAGTAGGAGAAAGAGAAAACAGATGGCATAAAAAAAATAGGAAAAGTATATAGCAAAGTAGTATGGTACTGAAGTTTTTGATGATACCTAAATTTTCAAGGTGGCAAAAACAAACACAGGTTGCTGAAGAGATGAAGAAATATGCAACAGCTTTTAAAATTACACGGTATTCTTAGATTGCCCAAATAAGTAAATAAACTTTGCTGGCTTCATCCTCTCCTTATAGGCAGGCAGGTGAATCTCTCCTATCTAGATTCTGTGCACTGTATAATTTTCCCATCAAACAAAACCTCACTTCATTTGCAGGGTGTTGACAAAGTTCTACCAGCAAATCCTGGCCTTGGTCTTTGCTGTTGATGAGATCAACAAGAATCCCAGGATGTTGCCCAATGTCTCTCTTGGCTTCCACATCTATGATAGCTATTATGATTCAAAGATGACCTACCGAAACACTCTGGACCTGCTCTTTAAATCACATCACTTTGTTCCCAACTACAGGTGTGGCATCCAGAAAAATGTCATAGGAGTCATTGGGGGACTCAGCTCTGATACCTCCTGGTGCATGGCAAACGTCTTAGGTCTTTTCAAGATTCCACAGGTAGAATATGGATTTTGAAAAAAAGAGATTTCATTCTTTACTTGCATTAGGAATCTACTGATTCATATATCTGGAGTGGAAAAATGGTCAAAGTAAAAGGGCCATAATATGCATATCCAACAATGTGTGTAAGAAGCTCAATTTGTGTTTAATAGATGTAATAGAAGATTTCTCTAAAGCTGCCAGGTTTTTAAAGGAGAAACCTAGATGGGTTCATATACATCAATCCTGAATGCACTGCACTGGCTTCCTGTGAGCTACTGAATATATGACATTGACAATCTCTTCATAGGCAAAAAAAAACCAGACCATATTAACTAAAAATGTTCCTCCCCTTAAAAAGCAAGATAGACCTTTCCCAAAGTATGATGTTACTCAACATTGTTCACTTTCAGAGGCTAATTGAAAACACTGTTTTCTTGCTATTGTTCTGGCATTTCTCACTTCAGAGCGCTATATAGTGGTGTCAGCATTGTGCTATACTGCTGCAATGTTGTATTTCATTTTAGTTGTTTTTTATATTGTATTTTATATTTTACTGATATTTTATATGATTTGGTTTATAGTGCTCAGAGAAGAATAGCATATACAGTGGTACCTCGGGTTACATACACGTCAGGTTATATACGCTTCAGGGTACAGACTACGCTAACCCAGAAATAGTGCTTCAGGTTAAGAACTTTGCTTCAGGATGAGAACAGAAATCGTGTAGAGGCGGCGCGGCAGCAGCAGGAGGCCCCATTAGCTGTAGTGGTACTTCAGGTTAAGAACAGTATCAGGTTAAGAATGTACCTCCAGAACAAATTAAGTACTTAACCCGAGGTACCACTGTACAATCTAATGGAGCTCTTCAGGATTTCCCAGGAAAACTTCCTGAGAGAGTACTTAGTAGATAGAGAATCAACGGCTTCCTACAAACATTACAAAGGTTACAGAGCAAAGGTACATAATCAACAATTTCTATTACTCCACTTCCACCTTGAAGTTTTTCTTAATCATCCACTTAGTATATTAACATGAGCCATGATAAATGCTCCCTATTGTTGGTTACAATCAAAATGTACAAGAATGAAGCTCTGATGATTCCATAATATTAATAATAAATATCGATAGATAGAGAATCAACTGCTCCCTACAATCACAATATATTATATTGCTGTATTATACTGTATTGATTAATTAGTGTTTTTATGGAGCAGTCAAGTAATTTCGTTGTCCCCGAAGGGGGGCAATGACAATAAAGATATTATTATTATTATTATTATTAATAAAGGTTACAGAGCAAAAGTAAATGATCCACCTCCACTTTGGACTTTTGTTGAGTCGTCCATTTAGTATATTAACATGAACGATGATAAATGCTCCTCTCTACTTGTAGACTATCAGTGTGTACAAGTATAAAGCTGGGATGATGCCATAATAATAAGAGTAAATATCTACAGAAACCAAGAGCAAGATTATATCTGTTTTACTATGTAATTTGGTACATTTGGGATATATATTCAGTGTGTGTGTGTGTGTTTATATACAAATATTTTGGGATATCATGATTTCTTGTTTCCACTTGGAATCATTTGGCTTTTGCTTTTCCAGATTTCATATGGTTCATTTGAACCACCCATAAATTATGGAACCAAGTTCCCTTCCTTTTACCGCATGGTCCCCAATGAAGACCTTCAGTATCAGGGAATTATCCAGTTACTTCTGCATTTCAGATGGAAATGGGTTGGGCTCATGACTCCAGCTAATGAAGCTGGAGAACGTTTCTTACAGACAATTGAGCCAATGCTTTTCAAGAATGGAATCTGTTCAGCATTCACAGAAAGAGTGGAACTCAATATAATTTATAACAGTAACAACCTAGAAATGCTGCAGGACGCAAGGATTTGGTTACCAACTATCACAACCAGCAGAGCCAATGCAGTTCTTGTATATGGAGAAAGTAGATTTATTATATGGTTGTCAGGTGCTTTAATCACAATGGAATTAACTTGGCTACTATATCCTCAAAAGAATTCACGTGAAGGAAAAGTATGGATTACAACTACCCAAATTGATTTCATATTATATAGCCTTCAAAAATTTACTGTTAATATACGAATGTTCCATGGTGCTATCTCCTTTGCAATTCACTTCAAGGAGATTCACAACTTTAAAGACTTTCTTCGGAGTATACGTCCTCATTGGACAGAGGCAGATGGTTTTATCCAAGATTTCTGGGAAGACGCATTCAGTTGTTCACTTCCAAATACCACTCTCTCACCAACCATGTGTACTGGAGAGGAGATGCTGGAGAGCCTCCCTGCACCATATTTTGAAATGAGTATGACTGGCCACAGCTACAGTATCTATAATGCTGTCTATGCTTTGGCACATGCCTTAAATAGCATGCACTTGGCTGGAACCATTCGCAACAGAAGAGATGCTAAGGGAAAACTCTCTCCTCAATATGCAGATCCTTGGCAGGTATTGCTCCCTCTCACAAAGCATTCACTGCATTGGTACATTATGTGAGAAGGCATTTAATCATCAGTAAAGAAATAAAAGAATAAAACTTAAGAAATTAAAAATAAACCTTAAGTAAATTTATTGTATGAAAGATGGGAATTAGAATATTTCCTATAATGCTATTAAACTTTAGATGACATAAGGAAAAAACTACACATAACTGAAGCTGTGGCAACCACCTTCTCCATACTGAAAACCCCTCCATTTTCTATCCACATCCCTCCACAATTCTCTCTGTTTCTCTTACCTGTCAAATTACCCAGTGGTGTAAGGGTGGGGGCTTGGGGCCCATGGCCCTGGGAGCATTATTCTGAGGGAGAACAACCAGGACCCCAAACCCAGGCACTGGCTTTTGCAGGGATCCTCATATCCAAGAGAAAAGAGAAGAGCAGCCCATCAGGGAGCTGCCACTGCCTGGGCACGTCCTGGAAGGCCTTGTGCCTAACTCCTCATCGTTCCCTGTCTGCCAACCATCAAGGTTTCTGGGGCCTGAA